TGTGACCTGTAAAATTTTTGGATTCGTGACTGAAAAATATTTTGTAATTTAAAAAATTTTCTATTTGTGACCGAGTAAATAAGTTATTACCAATAATTTGATAAGCTGTGACTAAAAATTAATTTGTGACCGAAAAATATTCTGTGACCTATAAAATTTTCGATCCGTGACCGAGAAATAAGTTACGATCAATAATTTGATAAGTTGTGATTAAAAATTAATCCGCGACTAATTAATTATATAATCGTGACCTAAATATATTAAATTAATAAAATAATTAATTGCACAATTAAATCATAAATAAATTTTAATGAAAATCTGATTTTTGAATTTTAAAACTTGTTTTTTTAATTCTGAAATCTACAATACTTAATCTCTCACTCATGAAATTTTCTCTAGATAATAAGTCTGTAGTAAGTTGAGAGTCCAATAACGCGTGTGAATAAAAAGTATTTTTAACTAGCTTCAAAATAGATAAGTTTCTTTTGACTAAAAATAAATAAATTAAAGGTATGAAATATACTTTATTTTTGGATAACTTTTAACCGATAAGTATGTTATTTTATGTTTGGTACTCCAGTTGCTCTAAAGTAATAATATCAAATTAGGGTTGATTATATCAATTGTCATTGTACTTTAACCCTTGTTTGAGCCATATTATTTTCAGAAAAATACATTTTTAAATAGTGTATTGATAGATAAATATTTGGTTAAAAAATGAGAAAAAGTTTTGAATTTGTGTGTAATATTATTTTATTGAAGAATATTCGATTGAAATTATATCAAATCACTGTTTAAAAATATTTTTTTTTTCAAAAGATGTGGGTCAAACATGGCCTAACATTTGTTCAAGGAATATGTTACTACCTATACATAATACGGTGTTCACTGGGGTGTCTATTCCTCTCATATAGAGGGATACCCCACTTCGAATAAATTATATTTTACTAAAGTGGATTCCCCTCCATTTGAGAGAGGTGAATACCAGGATGAACACCCTATTGTACGTAGAGCATAACCATTTGTTCAAATAATTACTTAGCTTGACACTTTGTTATTGAGTCAAAATTCTCAATAGCCACTATGCCTCCGTTTGGCCCCCATTTTGTAAAAGTGACAATGGATGGAATAGTGGAATTTTTTTTTTCAAATGAGTGATTAAAAAAGAAAATTTTTTCTATTTACGTGTTATATTATTTTATGAAAGATTCTGTGGTTGAAAATATGAGAGAAAAAAATGAAATGTAATGGAATGGAAATTAATGAGGGCCAAACGAGGGCGTTTCTCATTTGTTATTACATTCCGTTTGAAAATTAACGATTATGTTTAATATATTTGGAGTGACTATTTGGAAACAAGGTTTAAAATCTAAAGTTCAATTTCAGTCAAAGTTAATAAATATTTTTAATCACATATTTATGATATATGCAACTTTTTAATCACATATTTAATTAACTTTTATTAAAGTAAAAATATGATTTTAATCCCCACCTAACATGAACACAGTGATTATTCAAAAGATAAAAATAAAATTTAATAACTATTAGGAAACATGCCATAAATTTTGATATATTTTTTTACCCTTTATTATCTCCTTGGCACTTTGTCTGCTTTCATATTAAAATTTTACTTTGGCATTGCTGTAGCGAACAACTTACTAGCATTGCATCATAAATGACATCATTTGCTACCTGGCGCATATCCTATTGATGCGAAGGATAAGGATGAAGTATATTCAGTCTTGTTGGCAATCGAAGTATGAGGGTTCGATTCCTAAAGCATGAATTGAAACTCTTTGTGGATATTAGTGTACAGACAGTTCTTGTTTCCTAACATGTTGAGGAACTTCCCACCATTAACTTCTCTCTCGATGCTCCAAGGACAGGGCGGTGGGGGATTCTTAATGTTGGGGTTCAATCTTTTAACATAAATGACATCATTTTAAACTTTAGAGTGTATAGACACTCTTATGTACATAAAATTATGTACAAGTAGATTTATCATCTTTTTCTCAACCTTACCAAAACTACAAAAACTTTATTGTTTTATAGTAAGAATATAATTAAAAATTAACATCGTCTACTGATGTAGTTGATGACTCAATAGTTGATTAATTAAAAATTTGATTATGTCTAAAATTAGAATAATTTGTTAAAATTTAATTCGAGGAACAGTTACGAGGACAAAAGTTTGGAATTATAGATCTCGACTCTTCATCGAAAAGTTCCTTCGATTATAATCAATTCTTTCCATGTATGTACAGAATAAGACAACAAGTATCAAAATCTAACCTCCACTAATGTTATATCTTATGAAGAAGGTCTAAGAGCCCTTATCTAGAGCAGTACTAAAGTGATTTTATAATAAATAATAATAAAAATAGAAAAGAATCCAAATTCAAACGTTTGATGAAAGAACCATGTTTGTTGCACAATAACTTTTATAACAAGTTTGAGAACATGTTATATGGCAGGTTATCATTGGACAGTTTGAAAAATATTTTATCTTTTTCGTAAATACTTTTTTGACACCTACACCATTGTCAAACATGTTGTACAAATAGCTTATTCCTCGATGAAAATGCCAAGCACATAGCCATTAATACGTTACCCAACCAAATTTACAAACAGGCTTCCACCAATATCAACGGGTGGACCACACGCTCCATGAGACATAGACAGCCCACCAATACCGAGGACTTTCTTGTCATTTTATTTTAAAAAATTATAATTGATTCATGAAAAAGAAAACGCTCCTCTGTGTTTTCAAAAATTCAACTACCGAGCAAGGAATATTGCTAGGGCTGGGCAAATCTCCCGAATCGAACCGATCTGAACCCGACGGTTCTTGTCAAATTAAATACCCGAACGGGTATCTGAATTGAGAACCGACGGGTACGGTTCGGTTCTCGGTTCTAGACCAAGAACCGAAAAACCGAATAAGAACCGAATCTTTCTAATTTTTTTTTTATATTGAGTAAATCAAATTATTTTAATTTTAATTTTTTCTAAACAAATTAACAAATTAATCATTTCTAAATCCAAATTTTTGGCCCAATAATTTATTTCATTTCTAATTTTTTAATTTTTGACCCAATTACCCATTTTATTGTTTCATTTCTTAGCCAAACAAGATCAAATCCACTAAATAACCCTAAACACCTACAATAAAGTGCATAACGTTGTCTCGACTCTCACACTCACTCTCGCAGCCTATCTAATATTCCAAAACCTATACAATCGTCGGCCGACACTCTGACCTCCGATCGAAGCCGTGACTTTCCTGGACTGAAGCTTTGATCGCAGCGATCATTTGAACAAGGTAGTTTACTAATCTCTGACATTCCAAAACTATTGAATGTATCATTAGTCGTATTTATATAACGTTGTTATAAATGTTAAAAATTTTAATTATAGTACAGAACCGAACGGAACCGAACCGATCCGAACCGAACCGAATGGAACCGAACCCGAACGGTTCCATAATTATATTTGGACCCGACGGTTCCATTTACTAGATACCCGAAAAGTTTGGTTCGGTTCGGTTCTAAAGAGAACCGAACCGAACCGACCCGCGCCCACCCCTAAATATTGCTAGTCCAGTTTCTCGTTCTAATTGTAAATTGGAGGACAATATTTGAGGGTGTTTGATGGGATTAAAATTAGATTTTTAGTAGATTGTGATAAAAGTTTTTGAAATGTGTGGTTGAAAAATTGTGGGATCTACGAAAAATGTAATTAATATTAATTATTTGATTTTGACTTATAGGGTGTTTGAAACTCATTTTTATAAAAAAAATGTATTTTAGAATAATAGATTGATAGAAATTTTGTGGTTGAAAAATAAGAATTTTTTTTGATTTACGTGCAATATTATTTTAAGAAATAATATATGGTTGAAAAAAATGAGAGAAAAATGTATTTTGGAAAACATGGGAATCAAACAAAGGTTCAGATTAAAATCAGAACCAAAAAAGCTGTACGATCCTTATTTCTTAAAATTTATGTCCATGATTTTTATCAAATTTTTTAATCATATATTTTATCAAATTTTATTAATTTCTTTTGAATTATGACATTTTTATCAAAACTAAACAGGGGCTTAAAATGGATATTTATCCTTCAATTATATTGTGAAAATAGTCTTTGATGACATGAATTGTCCGAAATTCCATAACTTTTCACATGGTCGTGGTTCATCATTTGTCTTACAATTTTGGACACCATCAAGTTGGAAAATAACACTGATTTCATACTTTTAAGCTCCCTTTGGCCCCTGTTTTTTAAAATTAAAATGGGTGGAATAGTGTATTTTTAAAAAAAAGAGGAATTGGAAAAGAATGAAATTTTTTTCATTTTACATAAATATTATTTTATATAAAATTGCGTGGTTGAAAATGGGAGAAAGAAAAATGAAATGAATTTAATAAAGCCAAACGAAAGCTAAATACGCGAAGGTCACGTGATGGAACATTTGAAGTTGATCGTATGATTATAATTATTTTTAGAGTGCTATTTTGCTTGTTCTTTTTCTATTTGCATTAGATGAATTAGCCCGGTCTCAGCAACTTGTGGTGGTTAAGTTTGCCTTTCGAGTTTCGACTACCTTCGAATTTGCTTCTTACCATGAATTCGAAAAATGTCAACACTCGAAGGTTTGAAGAATAGTTTGAAAAAGAGAAAGTCGCAGAGATGACAATCTAGTTGATTAGGCACAGCGTGAGGCTGATTACAGCACACCGAGAGTATAGAATTCTTGTTTTCCCCTTTCAATTTTCGAGAGGGAATATGAGAAGTACAAATAGTAAATAAGGGTGATCCTTTATTTATTTTAGGTTTTTTAACTACCTATTTGACTTCGATACAACCCTATGACCTTTTATTATCTACTTCTTTCAAGTTAATACTTCGATTTTTAAAATATTGACGACTAGAAAATATTTTAAAGGGCACATATAATGTAGGGTACACTAAGAAGAGTGACTAACAAATATAAGACAACCCTCCAATTATTTATTGACATCTTCTTTTTAATTTTTCTCGTATTTATTTATTATTATTTTTACCTTCATTTACACTCTACCCTAACTTCCCAAACAACCGATCAAAATAAATAATATCCTTTCCCCACTTTCTATTTAACAACAAAAAATTTCACCTCCACGCTTCTCTGCTTGCAGTCTTGTCTTCCTTAGTCCGTGGGCTCGTTGGGACTTTGCCTTAGCCTTTTCTTTAATCTTCATTGGAAAAATACATGGATCCATTCATATCTCAATCCAATTTTTGAATCCTTTTTCTATCCCAGGCGTTTTTTCTCAACCATATCAAACTTCTTTATGTTTTTCTCTAAAAAAATGATGCCTTTTACTTCTTTACTTCCATCACTGTTGAAACCATTCATTTAAAATAGAAAAACGATCTGATTATTGTGTTTTGATTGGTTTGATCGGATTTTCAAGAAATGGCAGTTTCTACCATTGATGTTATGGCTGCTTTTTCTTGTAAGGCTAGCTTCATTTGGTACGTTTTCTCTGTGTTCTCATCTCTTAAGCTATAGAAATATATCAATTTCCTTGTGGGTTACAGTCAAGATTCGATCTTTTGTGATTTAATTACATGTACAGTACCAAGAGATTTATATATACGTGGATTTTCTATTTTCTCTACGAGTTTTCAAAATAAAGCGTTCTTGGTTATGTTCATGAACTGGATTTATTTTTCTTTGGTGTACAGGGTTTTGATGTAAGGAGGATTTGTTGGTTTAGTATATTATTTCTAGGATCTAGTGATTTTTTTGTTGTTTGAGATTTACTTTGAGTAATTTATTTTACATATCAGTTTGATTGAACTTTATTTTTTTTTTCTTTAGATGTCTTACGTCTTTCATGGATTTTATGATTTTGTACAGATTTTCAGATTTTAGATTTTGTTTGTGTTGATTTACTCTTCCGTGTAGCCGTCTGGATACGCAGGTTGGATTTTTTTGTACTATATTCAGCCTTTTCCAGTTTACATCTGAAATCAATTGAGTAGCTCAAAGGACACTACTTAAAATCTCATGATCTTTATGTTTACTTTCGCAGACTTATTTATTAGTTGTTTAAATTGCTGTTTGGAAAATGGGTAGAGGGAGAGGAAAAGGGAAGAAACAACCGGTTATTTCTGCTCATGATGATGCTGGAAGTGGTGAAGATGATAAGATACTATCTAGGAGAAGAGGAAGGCGACAAAAACCCTTGAAGGATGAAGTTGAGGAAGAACATGAAGTCGAGAAGATAGAAGACAACAAAGAAAACGGTCAGGATTCAAAAAATTCCGCGTTGAATAGAAGTAATAAGAATCAAGCTGCTGCAGAGAACGGCCGGAAAAGGCTAAGGCCTTCTCAAGTCAAAGAAAATGCTGATTTAGTGAAAGAAGATAATGTCGTGGGAATCAAGACTAATGCTTCTGACTTGATTAAGTCTGTTGGCTTCAGACCAAATAGAAGCAGGAGGAAAAACAAGCCTAGGCGGGCTGCTGAAGTTGGTGTTGAGTGCAAATGAAGTTTTTGTTTTGGAGATGAGTTTTCACCTTCTTTTGTGGGGTTTCAGTATTTCCTTTATCTTTGCTATGCCCTTTTTTTTCCGTGCTTTTCGAAAGTTATTGTTAACTACTGTGTTTTCGCTATGACATGAGACTGAGGCAAGTCCGTTGTGGTTCTGGTATTAGACTTCTGAGCTACCTTCTCTATACGAGTATTTGTTACTGAGTAACCATAATCTTTTACTCCCTTTACTCCATTATATGCAGTATTTACGTGTCTGTTTTGTGCTGTAATCAGGTGAAAAGCATCTGTCTTGAATCTCCATTTCTGTGTCTCGTGAGATTTTCTAGTTAAGACAGATTATAGTTACAATAGACTAGACAACATAAGACATTCTCCTTTCGATGATTAACACAGAAAATGAAAAAGTTCTATATTCAGGTAAAGTGTGAGCACTCATCATTCGTTTATGCTCAATGGACTCTCTTGAGTTACTGATTTTGATGTAATTGGTCTTTCTCTAGTATCTACTTGAAGTTATTGTGAAGGAAAGATCGAAATTTTATGCAGTCAGGTTTCCTCGTTTGTTCAATGAAATATTTAGTTTCAATACAGAGTGGTCTATTTACATTGTGATAGTTTATATTTGCTGCAAGCCTCATCTCTTGTCCATGGTGGGCGGGATAAAAATTTTCCGTCGTTTAAGGTTCTCTTACCAAGTCAGCGGTAAGAAGTTTTTATCCTATCCATTGATGACAGGAGATCAATTTTAATATTTGTTGTATGCTGCTTCTATTTTGTTTGTAGTAACTTATGCTTGAGATTCAAGGAGACATTGTTTGCTCTTGCATCGAATTGATAGACTAATCTTAAAGTGATCGACTACTAGTAGATGTTGAATGCTTTTCTGTGAGAAACGAAAAATATGGAAACGACTTGACCGGAAAAAATCTCGGGACAGGTTGGCGGAGGAAGCCACTCACTCGATTATTGATTGTGGCATTTGATGTTCCTTTACTGAGCAGCTGTTGTTGTTAATCCAACCTGCAACCACACAACAATGGTTAATGAAGGATTAAATCTAAATAAATGTAATGGAGTTCAAAAAATCAAATGAAGCAGTGAACTAAAATGGAAGAAAATGAAACGAAATCCCCTTTTTAATTCGGCTCAGAAATCTTCGACCCAACACCACAAAGGTAACTTCAATTGGGAGACTTTTTCATTCACGAAGAAGAAAAGGCACACAAAGGCACACCACAAAGGTCGACTTGGGTTTTCACAGAGAAGGAGGAAAAGTTCTCACGCTTGGAAGAAGAAGGCAGCCGGCTTCTCTATTTAATTCAAATTGGTTGAGTGTTTGGATATATTAAAACTCTTGTATATTATCACGAGGGAAATCAAATCTCCAAGATAACAGGTAAGTTTAAATTTGAGTCCAACAGAAATAGTAGGGATAGGATAATTATCACAAGATAATTATTTGCAACCAATTCTATCTTTTGTGATTTCATTTATCTCCATAGTCGGGTATTGAGCATCTAGCCCAATGGGCTGATTTCCTCCAAATACCCAATATAATTGGGTTACATCAATTGTGGTGTGGGTTCAATATGTTCTTCAATATTAGGCTTATAGCCTATGAAGTTAAACGGGCCTCGATTTTCATCATTGTCTAGGGGATTTGGGTATCACTTACCAAAAAAAATACCCAACAGCAGCAACAGCCTACAATAAGATAGCTTTGCTGTTGAAATCTTTAAAGTTGACTCATTAAATACAACTGCTACCAAATCTTGTGACATGAGCAAAAGTGGCCTTTGTCTAAGGTAAATTTATAACCTTCTATCTACGAGTAAATTGTAAAATGCAACACTAGTTTGGAATTCAAAAACAGGAGCAAAATCAATGTGTCAAAATCTACTATGAAAGTGTTAATTATGTCATTTGGTATAGTCCAAACTGGACATAATTGACAGGCCCGCTAAGAATCCAATAAACCCACGAAAATGAGTTCATTTGCCGAGGCCCATTTCAGGAGGTTTACTATGAGCCCACTTAAGTGTCTAATTTCATTGTCATTTCCATTTTTTTTTATCTCACCCTCTCTCTCTAGCACAAATCTCTCTCTCTCTGATATGCCTTATCTATACTCTTAATTTATTCTTTCTTATATTTTAGCCGCGCAGTGGGAAATGATACAAAATTGTAGTTCTGGGGTTCGATATGTAAGGTAGGCCAGAATTAATCCCATATATATTGAAAATTAGTGCATTTTTAGTTTATGGATGGCCAATTATCATGTAAGTTTCAGTTAAATAATGAGAACTAATATTCTTAGAAGTTCACTCCTTGATTCATTTTTCACAAGTGGATTCCTAGAATTGTTCATATAATGCTGCATAAAGTAAGAATCTTATAGATTTTAGGGGAGAATCGCATTCCTGGATTATAAATTGTGGAGTGGCATGAATATGGCTGAGGCTTTTGGACCAAATTGTCAAAAACTAGTTTAGATTCTTATGCTAAATATTCACAGGGCAGAATAAATTTCAGCTATTATTTGTCAACCATTCTCCCACATTCTCCCACATTATTTTTTCTACAATACTCATTTTCAATCACACATTCTCTATTAAAATAATATTACACATAGATAAAAAAAAATTCATTCTTTTTTAACCACACATTTCAACATCAATCATTATTCCACACTCCAATTTTTGAAATTAAAGGGCCACAAACAGGGCCTTAATCTTCTCTGTTTAAATATATTGACAACATCCATGAAACCCCCAGCGTGTCATCGAGAAAAGAGAAAAAGAACAAAAATATTGAGGAAAACATCGTCATTTGAAAACCTATAAATGTTATGAGGGAAAATTGCAGTAGTGGTCCCAAACATTTTCAATTTTTGTAGACTGTCCTAACCTTCAATGTCAGCAAATGTCCCTAACCTTTCAGAAATATGCACTTGGGCTCCAAATGGACGGAATGTTTGATCGTTAGTTGACCAATATAAAAGGGTAACTTTGTCATTTAACCTTATAAAACAATTAAAATCAAAAATCAAAACAAAATAAAAACTAATAAAAAGAAAAAAAACTATTCATCTCCTTCTTCACCCCATCACACCGCATCGGGAAATTGAATAATGGTTATTATGGAGTGTCCCTTTGCTCTTTGTTTTGAGGAACCTTACATAGTTTTTTTGTATGTTCCATTTCCTTGTGAGGAACTAGATTTTCTTGCCGTTACTTTCGTTTCTTTTTCCTGATAGACCTGAACAAAAATATAATATGGTACAAAGTTTCTCTCATTATCGAATGATATTGAGCTAAAGGAGAGATTTCTGGTGTATTTGTGAATTCATTTTATTTTTCCTTACAAGAACTATAGGTGTATATCTCATTATCTCTACACAGTGGTGTAACCGGGGTTCTCTTGGTACGACATGATCCTTTTTGTTCGAAAATTGCTTGTCGGTCGTGTTGGGCATAATGTCTTTTATCTTTTCTTGCACAAGCTTCCTTTCTATTAGACTGTACAGACCAATCCGCCATTATTCAATTTCTCGGCGCGGTGGGGTGAAGAAGGAGATGAATAGTGTTCTTCTTTTATTAGTTTTTATTTTGTTTTGATTTTAATTGTTTTATAAGGTTAAATACCGAAATTACCCTTTTACCCTTTTAAATTGGTCAAAGTTCAATTTTTTTGGTCAACTAGTGGTCAAATTCCATCCATTTGAACCCCATATTTTTGAAAGGTTAGAGACCTTCACTGACACAAGTTGAAGATTATGGTAACGTCTGCAAAAATTAAAAATGTTTGGGATCTCTACTGCAATTTTTTCAATGTTAAATATTGTTTTTGAACTGAGATTTTTAATTGTGAAGTGTTACTGGATGTGGACTTCTATGGATTGACAATATTGTCGCTCACTTTACTTCCTTATTCTCTTTTTCCCTCAAATAGATATGTCATTCAATCTATTGCTTTTTATGCTATGTAGTTTGTCCCGGATAAAATAAAATTTTCACTTCATATTTTTACGTTTATTTCGTAGTAAAAAATCCCTAGAAAAGTAGTGTGTTTGGTGATTGGGACTAGTTTTAAACTTATAGGGGCTCTTAAAATATTGCACAATTGTAGTTCTTATGTAGTTGGAAGAAGCCATGGATCCGGAGGATCTTAGGTATGGAAGATGTAGATTCTCCAATGATGAAAACAGTTAAGGGTGCAACCTCAAGTCTAGTTGTTGGCACAATCTAAGATACCATTAGAGATGGCAGTTCGACTCGTCGCTCGGATCATCTGACCAAAAAAAGCTCGAACCGGCCCGACTCGAGGCTCGGAGGCACCAAGCCAAGGCTCAGGTCGAACCCCATTTTGGGGAGTCGGCTTGAGCCGGGTCAACCTATAAAAAAAAGGGAGTAAAAAAGGCAGCATATAATGGAGCCCAGAACTCGGGTCGAGCTTTATTTTTTTTTGGCCGAGCTTTTGTTCAGCTCGGGCAAAAAAAAAAGCCCATCTTAAAAAGCTCGAGCTGGTTGGACTTGGCTCGTTGACACCCCTAGGTACCATTGTTGCTACTTGGCATGAAATGCCTCATGTTGAGAGGATAATTGCTCTTCCAAGTGTAATTCAGATTCAGACTCTGAAGATGATGGGTAACTATAGGATGTTGTTTCAAGAGTATAGGATGAAAATAGACTTTGTTAATGGAGCTGTTAGTGGATTTGTTTCAGGTGCTCCTATTTTGGGTTACAGTGGTGAACTTTATGTGCATTTTTGAGAGTTTGTAGTCACGGACCTAGAGAACCCCCAACTCATGTAGCATGACAAGATTGCTTTTGGGGAGTTTATTGCTATTTCTCGAAAGTGCAATGACGATGTCCCTTATACAAGTACGATGGCAAGCTTTTTACCTCCTTATATTGTGCTTATGTTGCACATTTTAGCTTGTTGATTGCATATGTGGGGAATGCTACCTTAGGTTGTCCCAAAATTAGAAATGGCAGTGGGGGCGGGGCGGTGGCTTGCCCCCTTTTTTTTTTTCAAAAATTTCTTTTTCAATAACATTAGGTTTTTCTTCCATTTCAATCAAACTTTCACATGAAATTTCTATTTCTATCCTTATTTTGATGTTTTTGGGAGTGGACCTCAGGCCAAAGATCGAGGGAAGTTTAGGAGAGATGGGGAAAGCTAGCAGCTACCGCAAGGCATAGA